TTTTTAATATCTATAATGTACAGACTTCTGCCAGTTACAATTTTATTATATGTATAGATTACTATCGACGCACAGTGGGGCCAAACTGAAATTTACTGTTCAAAATAGTCCAGAGCGTGCACTTTTTTTGTGGAGCACTATTTTCGAATTTTTATCTGGAATCAAAATTTTTTGTGGAAAGTAAAGAAAAACTATAAATTTTTAAGAAAATCCTATCCCTGTAAATAAATATTACATATTAAAAACAAGTTTAAAACAATTATAGGGTTGCCCGATTACGAAAAAATATAGTAAAGTGCAAGTTTCAAGTGGCTAAGAATTCGCGCTGATATTTAATGATCGGATACGGAAGGAAGTGCTCTCTAGCTCTCATAAAAAAAAAAATAAACAAATCAATCGTTTCAAAAATGTAGGCTCTGGCTTTGAATAGCACTTAAATTCCATTTTGGCACCACTGTGCGACGTCTCAGAGATTTTGACCGACGAAGTTTGGTTATGGTATTTGGCCAAGCCAAAGGTTCTTATACTTTGGTTAGAAGTTAGAGAGCCTCTATCATCGTAATAAAAAATTAAACTAAAATTTATCCCAAAAATAAAACTAATCGCTTAGCGTTAAGCAAGCATATTAATCGCCGCAAAGCATTTCCGTACACGTGAGCGGGATTTTTTTTTTCAGTATTTAACTACCTTCTTTGTGATTTTTTGTTAATAAAAAATGCCTGAATCAGTTAATTTAGCTCCCTTCACTTGCAGCGAAATGACACGAAAAAAAAAACAATTATTTTATTTTTATAGAAAAAAATGGAAATCATTAGTGTCAATTCATGAATGACCAGCGCTAATGAAGCCGTCCAGTCAAAATATACTAGATACATATATGAGGTGCTTAGGTAATTTACAAGTCACTTGCAAGTGGAGAGATTTGAATTTAGTTTCTTTGAAAAGCAAAAAAAAACACAATTGTAATCCAGTAACAACTCAATTGTTCAAAACATAAAAAAGGTTGACATTTTCTCGAAGAAATTTTTGTACATACAGCGAGTGACTACTATTGTATTGTATTGTGTTCAGAGTCAAAAGGAAACGAACACGATTAGCTATCGCGTATTGGCTGTGGAATATCGCTATACAGCTATTGGCTATTACTTACCATGTATTTGCACAAAAGGTGTGAAAATGCAGTTGCACTGACATGTTGTATGCATACATACATACATACCTATACATATGTAGATACATATCGCATTTGTGCATCACGGATTCCCTGCTGCATTAAATGGATAATGATTTCACAAAAATTTAGAATTTTTTTTTCAACTTCATTAGACTCGTTAGATGAATACTTATAATATACATACATACATACGTACATACGTATGTATGCATGCATCTGCATAGGTATACAATATTGATAATGTTGCACTGTGCGGCTAACAAAAACACAAAAGTTGAAAATTAAAGATTCAAAAATGACTTTCATTTATTGGCGCGACTACAATAAACCTTTGATGGGAACTTGGCTGGGAGGGAAACTGAAAATTGCTGGAGAAAAAAAAAGCGGCAGCAGCAGTTTAGATATCAATATGCATTTATAGATGCACATAATCGTAACTGATATGGATTTGGGACGTGTGCAGCATGCATTGCTGAACTAAACACCATTGTCGAATGCTTGGTATATGCGTGAGAGAATGCAGCAGGCGGCATAATGGCTGGAGGTCGAGGCAAAGCGGATAGCTAACAAAAGAAATTAATGATTTTAATAAATAATAATAAATATTGGAAAAATGTATGTATGTATGTATGTATTTGAAATTGAATTGTATAGACGATTGATGAAGGCGCGCTGCGGGGAATTAAGGCTGAGCAGGAAAAGAATTTTAATTTCACCCAAAGCTGTTGCAAATGCACAAAATGGCGGCTGTAAGGCAATAGAGTAGAAAAAACGCAAACAATGAAGTTTTGTTGGAGAGATAAATTCTAAATTACTAATGTACATATTTACGAGTAGGGTGGTTCAATCAAAATGCCATACATACCTAAGTTATCAGTACGCATGAGAAATATTCCCATCTACCATTTTGTTTAATAACCTAATATTGCTCGCAGGACATTTGACACGCAACAACTGGCATTATGCCCCCCAAACGTAATACTGCCACATTACCACCGAACAAAAAAAAAAAAAAAAAATAGTTTACCAAAGGCAAACATTAGAAGGCAAGTAGATAAATAAAATTAGGTTAACTATCTACAAAGAAATCAAATACGTATTGCTCTTATTTGCACAAGACAAGTAATGTGCACCCGCGGTCAGCCCGCTTTGCATCCCTTTGCATGGCAAGCGCCATCTTATAAATACAATAAATATGTACATACGTACAAATATACAACATACATACATACCTACATATATGCCAAGCAAACAACAAAAGCGATGGCAGTAATCCATGTGTAATAGATACTTTCATAGATATGGGTACTTTGAAAGGCAAACACGCCAAGACATTGGCATAGCATGGCCGACTATGTGGGGTGCAAATGACGTTTCGTGCCAAAGGAAAAAATAAACAAATTAAATGAAAGAAGTTGTGTATTTAAGGCATACATATATACATCAATATGTATTTATGTGGCATGTGGCATATAATCTAATATATGCATATATGTATCTATGTATGTGTGGTGTTTGTGTGTGTGAACTGCATGCGCAAACATATGCTTAGCTTTTACGCCGCACCACATCATTTAAGAGGGTGTAAGTCTTGGCTTAAGCTGTGCACAGTGTGCTGATATGGATATGTTGACAATAAAAAATACAAACTTGCGAAAGTTCCATAAAAGCAATATGGAAACCCCTAAATTGGATGAAGTTTTGGTTCAGCTTCGCTGTATGGAATATATTTAGCCTTAATCCAAAGCTGCTATTAATTGGGCACAACCCAACCATACGACCTAAGCTAAGTCCTACTTCCTTGGCTACATTTTCTTTTTTTTTCTAGAGAGGCGAATTATATTAAAATAACCAGTACGGGAACCAATTTTTTCACCAGACTTTTCTCAAAATTTCAATTTCTATGCAGGTAAGATTAATTTGCACTGGTTGTCGGTCTGCCTATGAGGTGGATCAGAATATTTAGTACAGATAGGCTCATTGTAATGCTTCGTGCGCACATTATCTTCCTGTAATTCTACTATGTGGCAGTAGAAATATTGAGAATTGCGGATGTCAAAAGAACGAACATCGGTCAGACGCTTGTAAAAATTTTAAATTGTGTTTTTTTTTCGGGGCTAGCAGCGATATAGAACGTACTTAGCACTGTCCACTTACATTGACTCAAACAAACGACTACGTGTTGATTTTTTTTTTAATATTCATAATGTTTTTCAATTCGAAAAATAAAAAAATAGCTGGAAAAACATCTCGAATATTCAAAAAAAAATTAACATGTGGTCATTTCTATGAGTCACTGTATATTTACAACGAAGCCGGGCATATGCATGTTTGGTATGTCGGGATCGAGTCTGGATAAATATGACTTCAGTCGAGTGCAATACCCAGACCTTCAATATTGGTAGCGATTATGCTCCAATAACGGCATTCATGCGCCTACATTCACGAGCAGATGTCTTCGGATGTACCTTGGAGGAAACTCTGCCTTAAGCAAATATCTGTATGTATGCCCGCTGTGATAGCAGGCAACAAAAAATTGTTTGCTGAGCATTAGAGCCCTAACCGCAAAAATAACGTAAACGAAATTTTTGATCTTGTTTTTGTTGCAGAAATGCCACTAGCGCATCTAGATCGGAAATAACTGGTCCAGATTGGTTGTCATCTTTGGGAGCGCGTGCGCAGCAAAAGAGGTTTCATTTGTTATTGGGAACCCGTCCATATACGTGGCAAATTTCATCGGTAACTCATTTACAGTTTTCCCAAGTTGGGCTTGTTCCAGGAGGTGCTATTTCGTTGTATAAACGTACCGGCAGGTTCTTTGTCAGTGAGCGCTAAGTTCAATTCACAGAAAGACGTGAGCTAAAGCGTACGCTGGACCTTCGGTAGTGAGTCCCGATGTTGATTTTTTCCCTTATTAATATTATCTAAATTTAAGTTAGATTGGTAGTCGTATGTGGTTGAATGTGCCTGTGATTCCGAATTTCGGATGTTCGTTTCAAAAGGGCTTCTCTAAAACATATTGGTTGCTCCGTAAAAACACCTTTCGTAAAATAAAAAGATTCGCTTAACCAGTTGAAAAAGGATGATGCCAACGCAAAGGTGTGTCAACTTTAAAACACCGGCACAAAAAAAGAATCGAATGCGAAGGCTGCCACATAGTAGGTTCTCTTCCTTGTGGGGTATCTAAAGACCTCTAGGTGGTCCAACCTCGGGATTGATTCTTTATGGCTCCGAGAAAATCCGATCAATTTAAGAAAAACGCCTACCTATTTTTTTCCACCCTTATGGATTAGTTATTTCAATTTTTTCAAATATAGTCAATCTGAATCAATGGTAAGAATAGGCGAAATTTAAGTTTAAGTAAAAAAAAAAAACCAATGAATTCACAGACAAATCGATTTCTCAAACTACATCCCCACCTCCTTTCCCCTCCAGGCCTCCAGGGGTAAAGGCCTAGATGCAAGATAGGATCTCACAGAGGTCTTTAGATACCCCACAAGGAACAGAAACTACCATGCGGCAGTCTTCGCACTCGAACTTTTTGTGTGTGCCGGTGTGATTTATAGGCTGTATGTTAGAGCAAAGTTTGAAGAGAATTTTCAAAACTGAATTTGAGCCCCCCAAAATTGGGCACCTTACACAATAAACCCCTCTTGCATGCTACTTAACCTCTAAAAAGCAAAATTTTTGAAGGTATAATTCTTTGAACTAGCAATTTTTCCAGCAATTTCATAAACTTACTTAAATACATTTTCTATTAAACTAAATACTTCTATTGCTTCAACTATCGCTAAGTGAAGCACTGTAAATTCACTGCCTGCCATCTACCGTCCGTACTCGTTGCATAGGCCGACGCTATACGTCGTAGCTGTCGCTGTGCGTTGAGGACGAGGGAGTTTTTTGGCGAATCATCTTGCGATCATTTCTCAAAGCGGCTCTATGCGGCTGTCGTTGCTACCAAAAAAATGAAAAACGCTCAAATACCAAATTGAACAAAGAAAAAGTTGGAAACTAGATGCCATAGAAATGGAGAATTCAACGCAGCGGGCGGTGTGGCAACTAGCAAAGCCAGCAACTGGCACGCACGTAATCAGCGAGGCGAACTTGACATGGGTGGTGTATGTATGTATGTAGACTGCTATATAACAATAGGGAGCAAACGTTGCTACTGGGCGCTGAATGCCTAAATGCCCGCACGTCTGATGCCGATCCAAAGATCCAAACGCTAGAGTTTGAATGCCTGCTGCTGGTGCAGCTTTGCTGATAAAGTTTGATGAGTGCGTGCATATCAAGAAAAAATAGTATCAGTTTATAGAAAAAGGCAAAAAAAAAAAAACAATGTTAAGAAAGTATTACATATCTACTGATATTGCCGACACGGTAGGCACTATACCTATAATTTGTATGTACATATGTGCATTAGGATGGTCCTTAAATGTAGGAAGCGAAGATATCACATATAAATTTTGATCCCAATTGGAGGCGGTAAAGGCGTGTCGCACAGGGAGTAAAGTTCAGATTCCCCTTTGGAGACTCAAAAAATTAAAATTCTTTTTTTTTTCATCTAATACCCAAAATCGATACTACTATAGTCGAAGATACCTCATATAAATTTTTGCCCCGATTGGAGTTGGTAAAGGCGTGGTGCACAGGGGTCAACATTCAGATTACCCTTTGAAGACGTCTTAACCGACTCCAATCGGGACCAAAATTTTTATGTGATACCTTTACTTTAGTAGTATCGATTTTGGGTATTATATGAAAAAAAAAATATTTTTAATTTTTTGAGTCTCCATGGAGCATCTGGCCTTGGACCCCATTGCGACACGCCTCTACCGTCTCTAATCGGGACCAAAATTTTTATGTAACATCTGTGACCATGGTATTACCGACGGCTCACTTGATTTTTAAGGACCACCCTAGTGTACATATGTATGTATGTAGCTAATCCACCCACCCACCGGCGCACAACGAAATTAAAACATGTTTTATTAATGGAATTCGATGAAATTATATTTGATACGAAATAATTTGGGAATGAGACCAAAAAACAGAAAGCTGTTCAATTTAGAAAGGCGCACGAGCACAATAACCACTGGCGCAAGCTACTCGTATATCTACGTAACAAAGTTGTGCAACATTTTTGGGGTGAGCAGGCGAAGGGGGGCGCGTGGAACCTAAACCGCTGCTCACCCGAGCACGAACGTCTTAGAGCGACTAAAGCAACTGATAAAAACCTCATTTTTCTTTCATTTACGTGCCTGTCAACTCAAAATGCCTGCTGCCATTTATTTTCCACAATGCCGCCACGGGCTAACTGACAGGCTGACAAGGCAAGCGAGCCATGAGTTGGGGGTAAACATACCTCTAAAGGACATTTGCTAAATTTGATTGGTGGTGTTAATTCTTTGCAAGGGGATGAAGCTTGATTTATCAGTGTATATAGCATCAGCATCGACGCCATTTTATTATTAAAAGTTTTCCTCTTAGCGATTGCATACATACTACACATTGTACCCACATATGTACATATGTATACATACACATAATCTGAAATAGTGTT